ACGCGCGCGCTCTCTCTCTCTCTCTACTACACACACACACACACTCTCTCTCTCTCTCTCTCTCTCTCTCTCTCTCTCGTGTGGCCCTACCTCAGGGCAGAGGGCACTGGCTCGCTGCCTCCCCCTTTCATATTGATGGCTCGTTCAATGCCTGGCCAATTCAATTCGATCCACTTTTCATTTTCTGGCAGCTGCAGAGCATTCATCATTCTGGTCAGGGATGCTCACTAAGTTTAAAATTACACTCATTAACTTGTTCCGATATCACCTACAAGGCCAAAGCCAGACACAGCCACGGGTGGCTTGGAGAGACAGAAAACCCACACCTACAATTCCGAGGCATCTTATCAATACCCAGAGAGAGATGCACAGCAGAGGGGTTCTTCCACTGCCGGAGATGGACAGGTGAAAGCTGCCTACTCCTGCACTGACACATGGGCTTCTGCAGGAGGCAGGCTCGTTAGCAGAAAATTCCTGGCTTGATCCTGAGCATTTCCACTGAAGTCAGTGGGAGTTGCAATGTCAGGCTATAGAGCAGCAGGAAGCACTGCAGGGAAAATGGAGTTTGGGCTCCTGGATTCTAATCTTATCTCTGCTACTGATTAGCTGCATGACCATGGGCAAGTCATTTAACTTCATGCTCACCTAATGCTTCAGGCCAGGCTTGTAGAGTGCTCTGAGATCTACAAATGAGAAACACCATCAAGTGCCAATTTATTCTTATTAATATTTACCAATTTGCATTACAGTAGCACCTAGAGGGACCCAACGGAGATCAGGACCTCACTAGGCTGGGTGCTGCACAAGCCTATAGGGAGAGACAGTCCCTGCTCCAAAGAGCTGCCAGTCTACTCTAAACAGACACGGCAGCCAAGGCTGGGGGGGGAGTGAGGGGGAGGATGTGTTACTATCCCCATGGGACAAGTAGGGAGCTGTGGCACAGAGACTGAGTGGGATTTCCACAAGCACTCCAAGTTGGTCTAACTCTGAGGGCATTTGAAAACTCTGGCGCTAAGTGACTCGCCCAGAATCACCCAGCAGTGAGTCGGCGGCAGGGCTGGAACGGAGTCATGACAGCCTGAATCCCAGCCAGAAGTAGCTGTGGTGGTATTTTTGGCAGTAGCATTTCACAGACTCACAGATTCCAAGACCAGGAGGGATCCCTGTGATCACCGAGTCTGATCCCCTGTATAGCACAGGCCAGAGAACCAGCCCCCCAAGATAATCCTTAGAGCACATCTGGTAGAAAAACATCCAATCTTGATTTAACAGTGGTCAGTGATGGAGAATCCACCATGACCCTTGGTAAGTTGTTCCAATGTTAATTACCCTCACTGTCAAAAATGTACACTTTATTTTCAGTCCTGTTTTGGTCCCCTTCAGATAAGATTCCTCTGGGGGAGAGGCTGATCCCTAAAGATCACAAAGCACTATTTGCAAAAATAAGGCACTAATAGATTGTTTGCACCTCAGAACAGAAACCACCTCTGTTTGCACAGCGGCTCGTGCAATGGAGTCCTGGCCCATGACGCGGCTCCTAGGCACGACCACCATACAAATAATAAAACAACAACATTGGTGAGGTATACTCCCATTTCAGCTCTGGTACATTACATTCTGCCTAACTAAATCCTCTTGCCGTTTCATTTGGGTAAAGGATTCTGCTTCACTTTCTGTGGCAAACTGGTGCTGTCCTGCACCTCAGTGGTACCTGTATCTCAGCTGGTGTTTGAAGAGATCCTGGCGTACAATTTATACTGCAGTTTATAGGGTGCCATATAAATTCCTATTTCTTAAAGTTTCCTTGGCTCCGAGTGGAAAGAAACAATAAATATTGAGGGGAAAAATCCATCTGTCTCCAGAGCACTTTAATTTTTGTGTATAAGATAAATTATCATGTGGGTTTTATTAGAATTTTAGAGCCTAGGAGCAGAAATGGCCACATTAATTTTAATTAACGAATTAATGCATTCAGAGAGGGTTCACGCTCGCCCTCGAAAGCTTTCCCAATCGCCCACTTGCAGCTCCCGATCGTTGATCTCCAGATATTTTTTCTTATGGAAACTATTTAATTTGCTGGCATCTGGGTGCTAGTGTTTTCTGTGTGCTTTAATCAAGAGCAATGACAACACATTAAATCCAGCAGGTACAGGCAGTGGCTGAACTGGACATGGGAGCTGTTCCTGGGTTGCATTGCAGGTGCTTCTAGACCAGCTGACACATCAGTCTGTTCCGTTATCCTTTGCTTTCAGGGGAGAGCAACAAGACTTATGTGGCAAGTTGCAGGTGAAAGACAGCATAGGCTACCAGACAAAGCATTGGACTAGGTCCTGGGTTCTATTCCCAGCACTGCCACCAACCCATTGTGTGACCTTGGGAAAGTCACTTAACCTCACCATATGTCTGCTTCCTGCCACACCGTCTGTCTTGTCTATTTAAACTGTAAACTCTTTGGGGCAGGACTGCCTCTTACTATATGTATGCACAGGACCTAGCACAATGGGGCCCCACCCTCTGTGGGGGTCTCTAGCCACTACGGTAATAGAAACAAAATTTATGGGCCCAATCCTGCAGCTCAGCCCCCTGAAGTGAATGGGACTCCTCACCTGAGTAGGGATTGGGTCCTACATTTCCATAGTGCTTTAAAAACACAAACACACTATTCATAATTATTTGCATCACGCTACTGCTCAGCAGCCCTGATTTGGATCAGGGCCCCGTTGTGCTGAATGCATAGAAATAAAAAATGGTTCCTGACCCAGAGAGCTCACAGTCCCCATATCATCCCCAAGTCCCATCATGGATGCTGGGAACCTCACTTCCCTTTCCACATGGTGT